ACACGCCGGTGGGTGTCTGCTAAGGGACGACCTCCTGTTGCCAAGAGGCTAGACATGTGTTGAGCAACTTGCCGGTGGGGTTCAGTCACGGGGACGTGGAGTCTCCCTGCTCTCCTCCCTCTCGCTTCCCAACGCCCCTCGCCCCGCATGCCGCTTCTCATCTCCCGTCCTTCTCTCTCTACTCGCCCCTGTTCTCTCTCCTCGCTCGCACCTCTTTTGAGGCGCCTCAAAAGTTACCCCCTCCTCTCTCAATCTCGTAAAGCCCCTCGTTCTCTCTCCTCCTCACTCCCTTTCTCGGCACTCCCCAGGGCGTGCTGACGGAGACCACAGCCGAGCTGGCAGCATCGCTGACGCTGGCTGCAGCGCGCCGAGTGGTGGAGGCGGACTACTTCATGCGCGCGGGGAAGTACGACGGCTGGCTGCCCACCATGTGAGTTGGAGCGGGGGGTATGGCTGCACTGCGTGTGAGTGCGGCGTGGGGGGAATGGCCAGAGGCGCCAAGTGAGCATGTGGCTAGTGGAGGAGGCGGCTTACTTGATACGCGCGGGGAAATACGGCGGCTGGGTGCCTCCGCATGGGAGTGCTGGGAGAAGCTGGCTGCACTCCCGTGGTCCTGCTGCATGCCTCGCGTGTTCCTCATCCAGTCTGGCCCCTCCCCCCGTCTCCCTCCCTCTCCCACGTTCATCGGCAATCTGCTCAAGCAGCAGACGGTGGGCATCATTGGCATCCTTGCCATGACTGGCTCTTTCCGCTTCCCCCCGCTCATCATGCCAGGTTCATCGGCAACCTGCTCAAGGGGCAGACGGTGGGCATCATTGGCGCGGGGCGCATTGGAAGTGCCTATGCGCGCATGATGGTGAGATGGGGTGATGGGGAGATGGGGAGATGGGGAGATGGGGAGATGGGGTGAGATGGGGTGAGATGGGGTGAGATGGGGTGAGATGGGGTGAGATGGGGTGAGATGGGGTGAGATGGGGTGAGATGGGGTGAGATGGGGTGAGATGGGGTGAGATGGGGTGAGATGGGGTGAGATGGGGTGAGATGGGGTGAGATGGGGTGAGATGGGGTGAGATGGGGTGAGATGGGGTGAGATGGGGTGAGATGGGGTGAGATGGGGTGAGATGGGGTGAGATGGGGTGAGATGGGGTGAGATGGGGTGAGATGGGGTGAGATGGGGTGAGATGGGGTGAGATGGGGTGAGATGGGGTGAGATGGGGTGAGGGGTGAGATGGGGTGAGATGGGGTGAGATGGGGTGAGATGGGGTGAGATGGGGTGAGATGGGGTGAGATGGGGTGAGATGGGGTGAGATGGGGTGAGATGGGGTGAGATGGGGTGAGATGGGGTGAGATGGGGTGAGATGGGGTGAGATGGGGTGAGATGGGGTGAGATGGGGTGAGATGGGGTGAGATGGGGTGATGGTTGGATGGGGGTAATGGTGCTGAGATGGGGTGAGATGGGGTGATGGTTGGATGGGGGTAATGGTGCTGAGATGGGGTGAGATGGGGTGATGGTTGGATGGGGGTAATGGTGCTGAGATGGGGTGATGGTGTAATGGTGCTGAGATGGGGTGATGGTGTAATGGTGGTGAGATGGGAATGGCGTGGAGAGGGGCATGATGGCGAGCGAGCCACCGGTGGTGGGGAGAGAGGTGCGGTTGTTGGTATGAGTGAGGTTTAGGACGCCAGGTTAGCAGATATCGGTGGCAGGGATGATGGGAGAGAAGGTAGGAGAATGGGGAAGACAGGCATGGGCACGGTAGCAGGGAGTGAAAGCTGAATGGGCTATATTTATTGCCCTGCATGATTCCCTCTCCATCTCCCGCGTGCAGGTGGAGGGCTTTAAGATGAATCTCATCTACTACGACCTGTACCAGTCCAAGCGGCTGGAGGAGAGCGTCACAGGTGCGAGGGGAGCGAGGGAGGAGTGATGGGGAGTGTGAGGAGAGAGAGATTTCAGGAGAGAGTGAGAGAGGAGAGTGAGAGAGGAGCATGAGAGAGGAGAGTGAGAGAGGAGCGTGAGAGAGGAGAGTGAGAGAGGAGCGTGGGAGCGTGAGAGAGGAGCGCGAGAGAGGAGCGTGAGAGAGGAGCGTGAGAGAGGAGCGCGAGAGAGGAGCGTGAGAGAGGTGCGTGAGAGAGGAGCGTGAGAGAGGAGCGTGAGAGAGGAGCGTGAGAGAGGAGCGTGAGAGAGGAGCGTGAGAGAGGAGCGTGAGGGAGGAGCGTGAGAGAGGAGCGAGAGAGGAGAGTGCTACAGATATGAGAATGAGGTGAGGCGTGCAAGACGCTGTTGAACATTAGCACACACTTCCCAGCATAAGTTCGCACCATGTGACACTGTCACGCCCCTGGCAATCGTTGCTCCCACTACTCCACACGTTTTTTAGCCCCACCACACCCAGTCCCACACTTCTCCTTCCCACTCTCACTCTACACCGCCAAAAGACGTTCGAGTGGGTACAAGCCTCTGTCACTCGATCTCCATCCCACTATTCTCCTCCTGCCCCCCCACCTTCCCTTCCTCCCACCAGCCTACTCGCGCTTCCTCCAATCACAGGGCGAGCCGCCGGTGACATGGCGCAGGGCGTCCAGTCCCGAGGAGGTGCTGCAGGTTGCTGACGTGGTAAGCTGCTGACGTGTACACTGTGGTTGGTGCTTGCATTTTTCTATGGATGGCAAACAGCAGTGACTGTAAGGACTAGCCTCGCATGTGGAGGCAGGGGCACGAAGAGCACATGCATATAGTTTCAACCACACATGATCCTACAACATACAGCCATGCTCCCATTCGCGTGTGCTCCTCTCATCTTTTCCATCTTTCTCTCCGTTGTCTCTGCTTGCCTGCTCCGCGTGCATCTCCCCACTCCCTTTTCTTCTGGCCCTGCAGGTGTCTCTACACCCTGTACTCGATAAGACCACCTTCCATCTCCTGGATGAGAGAAGACTCAACATGATGAAGAAGGTACGGGGACCTTACCCTGCCGTTTGCGACACTTGCAGCCGCGATTCATGCACAGCCGCACGCACTGCCCACCAAACCCGGCCGTTGCGTCGCACTGTTCCCCGCGTCCCGACAGCTGTCCGCCATGCCTCAGTCTCTCCGTCTCTTCTGCCTCCCCCCCGCTGCTCCCCTGCAGGACGCCATCCTGGTGAACTGCAGCCGGGGCCCAGTGGTGGACGAGGTGGCGCTGGTGAGGCACCTCAAGGCCAACCCCGCGTTCAGGGCAGCGCTGGACGTCTTCGAGGTGAGCGGCTCTCCAAGCCCACTGGCTGTCCAAGCCCACTGGCTGTCCAAGCCCACTGGCTGTCCAAGCCCACTGGCTGTCCAAGCCCACTGGCTGTCCAAGCCCACTGGCTGTCCAAGCCCACTGGCTGTCCAAGCCCACTGGCTGTCCAAGCCCACTGGCTGTCCAGTGCTGAGACGACCACCCATTGTGCTCCCACCGTGCCCACCCCCCTCCCTGCCCCCTCCTCTCACCTCAACCCCGCTCCACCCTCCCACCAGTTCTTCTGTTCTTATGCGCGCCCCCGGCCTGGCGCCCCGGTGCCCTCCGCACTCCCTGCTGCTCCCCCGTCCATTGTGTTCTCCTCTGCCTGCTCTCTCTCTCTGCATCTCTCTGACACTCTCATGCCTCCCAGCCTTTAAACCCCTCCGCACATCTCCCCGCCGCTCCCACTCCCAGCCTCTCCACCATCCCTTCTCACACCATCACGCCTCTCGCCGTGCCGCACATTGCTTCAAATCCCCCCTCCCCGGCCCCTGTCCATGCCTTGGTCTCTGGCAGGACGAGCCTCTGATGAAGCCGGGCCTCTCCACGCTCCCCAATGTGGTCGTCGTGCCGCACATCGCCTCCGCCTCGCAGTGGACTCGCGCTGGCATGGCTGCGCTGGCCGCACTCAACGTGGCGGTGAGTTCACAGCGCTATTTCAACAGTACCGCCGCTGGCATCTACTGGCATTCTCAGTCACCCATGAGCTCCCAACACATGGAGAATGGGTATAGGCACCTCTCCCCCACTTGACGATCTCATGCCACCTTTCCTCCCCTTGATTCCCAGAGCGCAATCCCAGTTCCGCGCATCCCCCTTTCTGGACTATTCCCTCTAACCACTTCCCCTCCCGCCTCACCACCCTCTGAACACGTTCATCAGGCGAAGCTGCAGGGCTACCCCGTGTGGCACAACCCCAACGATGTGCTTGCCTTCCTCGACCCCAATTGCCCGCCGCCCAAGGCGTGCCCCAGCATCGTGAACGCCAAGCAGCTAGGTGCGTGTGCGGGTGCACTGCATGTGGTGGGTGGTGCAAGGCATGTCCCAGCACTGTGAATGCTAAGCAGCTAGGTGTGGTTAGTGGATGGGGGATGGTGTGTGTGTGGTGGGTGCGTGGGATGAGAGTGAGTGCGAGGCGCGCCCTGTGAACGCCATTGCGCCAAGCATCTAAAAGCGTGGATGGGGGCATGAGACGTGGTGGGGGCATGGATTGTGATGGGTGCATGGCATATGAGTGAATGGGGCAGCTCGGGCCTCAGCATAGCCAACGCCAAGCGGCTAGCTGAGCGTGCGAGTGCAAGACATGTGATTTAGGGCATGATGGTGCACGGCATGTGGTAAATGCATGGCATGTGGTGGATGCATGGCATGTGGTGGATGATGCAAGGCGTGTTCCAGTGCATGGGATGTGATGGGTGCATGGAATGTTTGAGCACGATTTCAACGTCGATGGTTTCCAATTCCGTCCTGACAACCATACCCCCCCCCACGCCCTCCCCTCCACAACACTCCCCTTCCCCCCCCACACCTCATCAGGTCTGCCCACAGCCACTCCCTCCAAGCTCTGATCCGCTAAAGTTACAGCAAAGGCCATCTCCATTATTATTTAGCCACTTCATTATCCTCTTTTTTTTCCTCACGAAAGATGGATATTTTTTTTTTCTGAAAATAGACAAAAAAGCTGTGCATTGTTTCATATGCAATTGCACCTTCTTTCCAATGGAAGCGTTATAAAAAACTTGAACTGAAGGGCAAAGAATAATATCAACTTGATGTGAACACAAATCTCATCTACTGTTGGCCTGGTAACCAGAGCAGCTGATTATGTCACTTGCCCCTGCGCTCCTCCTCCCCCACCACCGCCTTGAGCTTCTCCAAAGCTGCAGGGGAGGAGGGGGAGGTAGGGCAGCTGAGTGAGGTGGAGAAAGTGCATGGAGGATGCAGAGCAGACGTGTCTGACCAAGTGAAGGGGAAATAGAAGCGAACTAGGAGGGAGGGGGGCTTTGCTCCGCACCAACCACCCCATGCACATGCGCAAGCACAAGCACAAGCACAAGCACATCCCCATACGCGCATGCACATCCCCATGCATATGCAAATAGTGGCACCACACTCCACAAACCATCACCGCACTGCACATACCAGCACTGCACTGCACCTACCAGCACTGTAGTGCTCCCTGAGCCCCTCCATGAGGTCCGTAGGCGCCTTGCCCTGAGTGCAGTCCGCACAGCCCACCTTAGCCAGCACCGCCTTGAAGTGCCGCACCTGGTTAGGGCAATCAGGGGAGCATGGGAGTATGTGTGGGGTTCAGGCATTATAGCAGCATGAGGTTGGAAGGAGCCTTCCTCCAGCAGCAGCCCGCCCAGCCAGCCTTGGCAGGCACTTGTTTGAAATGCTGCATCGAAGTATTTGAGAGCACGTGGGCATTGGGATGCGTGCGAGTGGGGTTACAGCATGAGGCGTTTTGAGGGCGCCTTGCTCTGAGTGCAGATGGGCGAGCCCAGCCCACCTTGGCGTTGACGTGACGCAGATGGGGGAGGGAGGTTAGAGAGGAGATGCAGTGAAAACAGGGGAATGGTAGCAACCCAAAAGTAATTTATTAGTCACAATTACCAGTCACATCTCAAGAGTATATTTACCACATTCACCACAAGCAGCCAACACACCTCTTGCTTCCTTAGAATGGTGTAGCAGTGCCCTGGCCTGCCTGCCCGGGCAGTTCGGCCTGCCCGATGCACAAAAGTTTTCGGGTAGACGGGGGCGTCGTAGCTGACGACGTTGAATACGCCCTCAACGTCCATGCCACGTGTCATGGCGTCACTGGCCACCAGCACCTGCACCTCTCCCCTCCGGAACTTGTCCAGAATGGCACTGTTTTTACATGATAGTGAGGGGCGGGAGGAAAGGGGCGAGGAGGGGGGTGGTATTGGGACAAAGCATGGCATGCAATGAGATGGCAGCAGCACCTGCACTTTGCTCCTTCAGATGCTGTCCAACACGGCACTGTTCATCGGTTCATGTGGTGGAAGGGGGGGGAGAGGGGGGAGGGCACAGACTTGACAAGCCACGAGCTGGCAGTGGGCGTGGCATGCAGCGAGATGCCTCCCGAACCTCCCTCCGCCGGAACTTATCCAGCATATGGAACCATGCCATGCCATGCCATGCCCTACCATGCCATGGGGCCGGTGCATCGAGTGAGTGGAACAACGTGGGAGAAATGGAAGGCATGGGAGCAGGTGAAGAGGAGAAGGCACATGAAGGCTGTGTATGGGAGGAAGGCAACGTGAGTGGGCCAAAACTGTCTCTGCAGCTCACTCACCTGCGCTGCCTCTGCGGCTGGCGAGAGGAGAACTCAGCAAAGGCGAAGGGCAGCGAGGCGGGCGGGAAGGAGGAGAGCAGCAGGAAGAGGCGGTGCGCCGCCTGCAGCGACGACGCAAACACCAGCGTCAAGCGCACAGCGCCCACTGCCCCTCTTGCGCCACCAGCCGTGATGATTCCAGCCTCCTCCGTCCCCCCTCCCCCCGCTCCCTCCCCTGCTGTGAGCTGCCTGAGCAGAGCCGCCAGCAGCAGCGGCTTGTCGCTGGCACGCGGACACACCTGGGAGGAAATGCAGAGGGGAGGAGTGAAGAGAGAAGCAATGGGCAAAGCGAGTGAACGAGGGAGGGGACGAGGAGAACACATGGCAGAGCTGCCAGCAGCAGTGGCTTGTCGCCGGCACGGAAACACACCTGAGGAAGAGCAGCGGAGTGAGGGAAGCGAGGCGGGTGCGAGGTGAGGGATGCTAGGAGGGAAGCAAAGGGCAGAGGAGGGAGAAAGGACAGAGAGGAGGAGGAAGGGAAGAAGCTGTTAGTGGAGTCTGGGCAAATAGCAGGAATCTGTGTGCGTCAGCCTGAAACAGTGACAAGACCGTAATTCAGACTACAGACTCCACTCACCGCACACCACTCACCAGCATAGATGTGGCCAATTGAGGAGGCAGGTGATAGTGCCTCACACCTCCCTCCTCCTCTCCCTCTTCCTCCCTCCCCTCATCTTCCATTCCACCCTTTCCTAGAGTAGCCACATCACCATCCTCCATTTCAGCATCTGCATCGGCAGCATCCACGTCAGCAGTGGTCCCAGCGGGGTGCGTGCCCCCTGCTGCCACGTGGCGGAGCATGGCAGAGGCGAGCAGGTGGGAGGCAGATGAGATGAAGAGCGGGCGGTGCAATCGGAGCCGTTGGATCTTGGAGGGGTCGCGAGTGAGTGTGGCGGAGCACACGAGCTTGATGACCCGATGGCGCTCCACGTTGGGCACGGCGAGCAAGGAGAGGGGGGAGCTGAGACAGCATTGGAGGGGGGGTTGGCGGGTGGGGGTAGGATAATGGGGAGGGGAAGCGCGAATAGGGATGGTGAGTAAACACGCGAGCCAGATCAATTGATGGCGCTCGATGTTGGGCAGTGCGAGGAAGGAAGGGGAGGGGCTGAGATGGTGTGGCGGAACACAGGGGAAACGAGGGGGAGAAGGGGGAAAAGAGGGGGAGGAAGGATCAAAAGCGGCAGAATGCACCGGATTGATCACCCGATTGTGCTCGGCGTAGGGGATGCAGAGGTGTGGTGAGTTGGGGGGAGGGGGATCAGCCTAATCCGGGTTACATAAGAAAGAATTTAAGAAGGAAACGGTGAGCTGGACCCACTACGCACAAAAAAGCGTAAAAAACAGTAGATTGGGCACTGTGGTGAATGCATGTAACCCACAGTTGCATTCTTACTCGGATCTTAAGCCATGGATGAAGGGATGGGGGAGGGCACCGCACGTGACTCCATGACCATGCATGGCGCCCACAAGCGGCATGCTCATGGCCACGTCAGCATGCACTGCTGACGTGGCCGCACCGCCAGCGCTGCCAACCACAGCCGCAGCAGCAGCAAGGGTGAGCGGCAGCCAGTCGTGGTAGGACTGGCGCAGCAGGCGATCCGCCTCGTCCACCACCTGATGCACGTGGGGGGGCACACACACACAGGGCGCGCGAGGTATGAAGGGTTGTGGAATGGTACAGAGAGGTGCAGAGGGGTACACGGACAGACAGACAGCAGCAGCAGCAGCAGCAGCGGGGGTGAGCGGCAGCCAGTCGGGTAAGCAGGCGATCCGCCTCGTCCACCACCTGTTGGGCACAGGCACATACACGACAGGTGAGCACACATGGGGGTGCACAGGGGGTGCAGAGGGGTGTATTGAGGTGTGCTGAGAGGTGCGGAGGAGTGATCTTTGAGCAACACAACCACACGAGGAGGGGAGTCGCTGCCCCTCACTTGTAGCTGACGCAAGCCAACGGCTACACCCAAGCCAGCGGCTGTAGCGGACTCACCAGGAACTGCAGGTGCGCCAGGGAGAAGCCCTCCGTGCCCCGCAGGTGGTCCACCAGCCGCCCAGGCGTCGCCACCACGATATCCGCCCCGCTACAGCCGCCGCCCCCATCATTGCTGCTGAGCCCACGGCTGTAGCTGAAGCTACTGAGGAGCCCGAGGGGACCAGAGGGGGTGGCGGGGTGCAGCACGAGGTGCGTTGCCTCGTCAGCGAGCGACGATTGGCCGTTGATGAGAGCCACTGAGAGGCCGACAGCTGGCGCGATGGTGTCAAACACGTGCTTCACCTGCAGAGGAAGGCAGTCGGGGAGGGGCGGGGCGGGAGGGGGGGGGGGACGGGAGGGGGTGCACATTGGAGGCAAGAAAAGAGGGCAAGGTTGGGGGCAAGGTTGGGGGCAAGGGTGGGGGCAAGGGTGGGGGCAAGGGTGGGGGCAAGGGTGGGGGCAAGGGTGGGAGCAAGGGTGGGGGCAGGGCAGGACTTTTAAGATTGCGGTGCTACGATTTGGTGAAGGGGGGAGGAGATGAGGACGAGACGAGGGGTGCAGGGAGGATAAGACGAGGATACGACCTGCTCCCAACAGTATGTGCGCACGACCACTACAGAAGCCAAATGAGCAGCAGGACAATATCGAGGTGACTTTTCAAATGAGCAGGACAATATCGAGGATATCAAAAGTCGCCAAATGAGCAGCAGGACAATATCTGAGCCACAGGACAATATCTGAGCCACAGGACAATATCTGAGCCACAGGGCAATATCTGAGCCACAGGGCAATATCTGAGCCACAGGACAATATCTGAGCCACAGGGCAATATCTGAGCCACAGGGCAATATCTGAGCCACAGGACAATATCTGAGCCACAGGGCAATATCTGAGCCACAGGGCAATATCTGAGCCACAGGACAATATCTGAGCCACAGGGCAATATCTGAGCCACAGGACAATATCTGAGCCACAGCAAGCCAACTCTCCGGTTGGCAGCACTACCAGCGCCCTCACTCGCCTCGCCAGCCGCCCAGTTCGAACCGAACCTGCACTGCTGGCAGCCATAACAACAGCGTAGCAGCATAGCAACCCACCTGGGCATCCCCACACATCTCCTGCTGGACGCACCACTAACGCTCTACCTCGCCCCTTAACCCTCCCAGCCAGGGCCTGCACCACGGGCAGCCATCGAAAGACAGACTGTGACTGTAACGACCCACCTGAGCAGCCAGGTCTCTGGTGGGCAGCACCACCAGCGCCCTCGCTCGCTGCACCACGTGCCCAGATAGGGCCCGCACCACGGGCAGCATATACTCCACAACCTTCGGAACCCACCTGAGCAGCAAGGTCTCTGGTGGGCAGCACCACCAGTGCTCGCACGCGCCGCACCACCCGCCCCGCCAGGGCCTGTACCACGGGCAGCGCATACGCCAGTGTCTTGCCACTCCCGGTCGGCGCACACACACACAAGTCGTGCGACGCCGCCCGCAACCCCTCCACCTCCTGCTCCTCCCCCCCTCCCACTCCGCCAGTTCCCCCCTCTCCTCCCCCTTTCCCCCTATCACCAGCGCCCGCCCTCCCCCCTCCCCCATCCCTCCCCTTCCTGCCTGCTTGACTTGCATGGGCATGGGAGTGGGGGTGGTTACCAGGTAACCCCAGCAGCTCGCGCCACACGGTGGCTTGCACGGGAAAGAGATAAGAAATGCCGGCCGGAGCGAGGGCGTGCAGGAGGCTGTGGGGGATGGGGAGAGGGTAGGAGGGGAGGAGGGGAGGAGGGGAGGAGGGGAGGAGGGGAGGAGGGGAGGAGGGGAGGAGGGGTCAGGAAGGAAGAACAGTTGGGCTGCAGTGTTACAGTGAAGAAGAGAAAGCAACAAGTGCCAAGGAGGACCCCCATGAAAATGGCCACGAGCACCCAAGCAGCTGACCACCGTACCGCTTGTCTAGGTTCGGCACCGAGGGAAGAGGAATGGCATCAGCTGTGGAGCACTTCACTGGCGCTCTCATCCACGGCAGCACCGCCCCTCCTCCCCCCCTCCCCCTGCCCCTGCCTCTCTTGCTGCTGCTGGCGCCTTAGCTGGCGCCTGACGCTTTGCCTCCGCACTAGCAGCAGCAGCAGCATCATCATCGTTCCCTTCCCTGTCTCCCCCTCCTACCCTCTCCCTCTCCGCATCTTCCTCCACAGTCTGATCTTCTCCCAACAAGAGATCTGCACCGTCCAACTCCCCACCCTTCTTCCCTCGCCCCTTGCCCTTCTTCTCCTTTTTCATTTTCGCCTTTCCCTCGCCATCCCCCAACCCCCCTTCTGCTCCTGCCAGTCTTCCTGCTTTCCAAACTCCCCACCCATAAACCCCGAACCTTGGTCAAACCCTCCTCCGCCTCTTGCTTCTCGAGTCCCCTCTCCGCCTCCTCGCCGCCCCTCCCCACCGCTCTGCACCGAGGCATTGCTCGCATTCTCCAGTGCAAAACCCCCCACATCCTCCTGCCTTCGTTTCCTCCTCTTCTCCTTCCCACTGGTTCCTGGAGCCTCGTCAGCCGACTTCCCAGTTGCAACCCTAAACCCTGTGTTTGCTGCGAGCCCTGAACCCTCGCCGCGTAGTTCATCTCCTGCCTTGTCATTCGCCACAGCATGTGCGACATCGTGTAACTCTCCTGAAATTGTCGCATGCGCCTCTTCTGCGCGTCGCAATTCGCCTTTTCTTCGTTTCCTGCGAGCCGCTGTGCCGTCCGTCGCTTCATGCCCTGGGGCAGCGGGCGACGCCATGTCAGCAGCGTCAGACTTAACGTGGCCCACGTCAGCACGCTCAGCCATGGGCGCTGGTGCCTGAAGCGCCCTCGCACCAGCGCCATCCTGATCAGGTCCCGCAGATGCATCCTTCTTTTTCGTGTCACTAACGCTTCCTCCCGCAATCTCCGCAGCAACATTTTCATTCCTACCCCCGCCGCCGCTAACCGTCTCAACTTTGCTCAGCGCGGGGATCGCCGGGGCGGAAGCGGGTGTGCGCGGAATGGCGGGCGGAGGTTTGAGCGGCGGAGTGGAGTCGAGGAGGTAGGACGAGGGGAGGGCCTCGTGAAGGCCGTCCCAGCGCTTCACGGGAAACATGGCGGCGACCAAAGCTGACGCAGGGCAACGGCGGGCGCGCAGGCGTGCTGAAACGTGAAGGATGGCGCATCGATGAATACGTCGCACGGAATTGGAGACTCGAGGCTATGACTTGAGCTGAAACAGAGTGCAGCACGGAGGTGGTGGTGCTCGTCTGCTTCATTTGGAACCTTTCTGACCAAGTACCACTGCAAACGAGAGGTGCACCAGAAGGTTAACGTGGCACCTGACAAGGGAAACACAACGACGAGACCCACAGAGACGAAAATGGAAATGCATTTTGAAGAAACAAAAAGGGACAGGCGATAATTTGAAGACATACCTTTCTCGGCCTTTTGGCTAAGATCAAGTGTAGTATCTGTTCTTATCAGTTTAATATCTGATACGTGGACCATCGGTCCACATGATATTAAATTAATTTCTTTTGGGGGCAGGTGCCAATGGCCAGCTTGCTGGTCGGCCCTGCAAGCGTCGCCTCGGTATTGCACTAACTCCGGGGAAGGCGCACCCCTCCCCCAACGGGGGTCCAAATAAAAACTGAAACGGTATACGAGCCAAAGCTACAACTGGGTGGAAGAGAAAAGGCATTTCACGGCGAAAGAAACTGTAATGGATGTGCAAGAAATGAAGTCGCAATCAAGGAAGCGTCGCACGCAAACGGCATGCGAGGGACTCACACGATTTTGCTGCCTCTCCCCCACCCACCCCATAGAGCCGTTCACCATGCTTTTTCCAGGTGGGTGCATTCTTCCTGTCGTTCCGCCATTTGCCCTCCCCCTTCTTTCTGTTGTTTCCCATCCCGCCACTTTTACTAACTTGCTGCGTCGCAGAGAACAACTCACTTGTCGCATAACACTCGTTGCGTCCCATCGCGCGTCGTCACTTGCTCGAAATTTGTAACGTCAAGTAGATTCGTTTCTTCAAATCCCGTTCCCTCGTGTTCTGGCCGCCTCGTAGCTTCCGTTCCCGCGCTCTGCCACCATTCTCTAACGTTCTTTTTTAGGGACGACCTCGCGACATGCGAACAAGGTGATTAACTAAACTTAGCGCCCCCTTTCACACTCACAGCCGAGGCGACGACACCGCACGCGAAACTCACACGTTAAACGACACCGCTTATCGCCTTGCTCCGCGCTGCTCTTTCCGGCAGCTATTTATACTCAATTTTCTGCTTTATGGCTGCCTGACTTATTACATGCCGGTCTCTCTGGTCGCCAACCAGCCGCGTTGACCGCAACTCCTGGGATGAAACGGGCGTTGTCGAAGTGGCTTATGAGAAATTGGTCGCAACAGCAAACGGACGTCCATCTAAAATAGCCGTCCCCGCTCTGCTTCAAGGATATGCGTACAGGCTTATCGGCATGTGTACTAAAATTCTCTCTTGAGCGCCTGAAGTTCTATGATATTCATATGGAATCTCATTACTTGCTCGTCGTAATCCGCCACCCTCTTAAATCTGCCCACAACACCTACACCCTGACTGCTGAAGCAGCGGGATGGGGAACCCAAGCAGTCCGACTGACGCGCGGGAAGCAACCTCGTCACCCCTACCGAAATCGTGAGTATTCATGTAGTTTTAGTGGCTTTCAAGTGGTGAGCACGCATAGGGGAAAGGTCACATATGGTACCTCGCTTCCCTATCCAGCAGCCCTTTGTTTATAACTCTCAGAGGGCTTTTTTCGTCTCAACGCTCCCTCTGGTCTGCTCTCATGCCTCAAGTTCTCTCTCCCGTCTGCAAACATGTCTCAAATGTCTTCCCTCCGTCTGCCCTCATGCCTCAGATAACTTCCTTCTATCTATGTGCCGCCCTCCCTCAAGTCACTCCCTACCCTCCGTGCCCATGCCTCAAATGATGTCTTCTTTTCCGTCTATGCCATACTTACAAGAGAGAGAATATGAAAAAAGTTTTCTTTTATGCCCCAATGATACAAGTCACTCCCTTCCTTCTGTGCCCATGCCTCACATCGCTCCCTTCTTTCGTCCCCAACCCACGCCTCGAAAGTATTTCTTTCCTCCCACGATGACCGCAGCATTGTCATCTTGGGGCACGTTTTACCAGGAATGGTCATCTGCTCACTCTCTTCTCGATTCACGACATGCTATTGCGCCCATCACTCTATTTCCCACGTGTCCTGCCACAACTGATGCCTCCCCGCAACCTCGCCAGTTGTTGCCGTCTACATCACATTGTGAGTGGGGGGTGGGAGGGGACGGATGGGGGGTGGAAGTGAGCTCAGTGCACGGGTGGATGGGTGGGAAGGGATGGGGGAATATATCTCAACGGATAACCGACTCCGCCCAAGAAACGGTGTCTGCCCGAGGGAAAAAGAAACTAAAACTCTGGGGGGCCTGCATGGGACTCGGAGACGGCTTCAACCCTATTCTCTAAGGAAGGGCATGCCAGGTCGCCCAGGGTTTTTTTTTTTCTTGCCCGGGTCAGTGCGACGGGATTCGACGGGTGCGACGGGTGTCGCAGCCCGTCGAAGGCTTGTCCGTTGAGAATGGGGTGGGAGAGTGCACTGGTGTGGGATTCACGGCAGGTTTGCAGGGTGTGGAGGGCTGCATGAAGAGAGGCTTAATCGCCTGTGAATTTTATAACGGACAATTCAGAAATGTAGCCGCCCTAGCTCAGTTGGTAGAGCGCAAGGCTCTTAACCTTGTGGTCGTGGGTTCGAGCCCCACGGGCGGCGGCTGCTTCAGCCGTATCCTTGATGGCATCATTGCTTATTGAGCAACTGCTCGAACTGTTTTTTCACCCCACGAGTCAGCAGCCGTGTGTTGAGAAGTTCGGACTGCGCACAAGCTTGCCAAATGTTCCCCCCACTAATAGTGCCAACCTCCTTGGCACTGCTTGACGCCTGCTGATCAGGTCAGGGCCCTCTCCTGCTCCCTTGCCATGCGCCCTTTCTTGCCCCATTCCCCTCCATCCACCTCCCATCCCCACCTTTTGTTGCCCCTTCATTCCACTGCTGCGTCTGCAACCACCGCCTTTCATCAGCCCCTTCTCCCTTTCCCCTTCTGCCCTGCCACCTCCAACCTTCCCTCCATCCCTTTCCCCCACCTCCCTCTCCTTCCCTCCCTCTCTTGCTGTGCTCCCTCTCTTGCTGTGCTCCCTCTCTTGCTGTGCTCCCTCTCTTGCTGTGCTCCCTCTCTTGCTGTGCTCCCTCTCTTGCTGTGCTCCCTCTCTTGCCCCCCTTGCCTCTCCCCCTCTTGCCAAGACCCCTCTCCTGCCCCCCTCTCCTTTGCTGTGTGCCATCTTCCTGCCCCCCCCCTCAAGCCCCCTCTCCCGCCCCCTGTTGCCATGCGCCCTCTCTTGTCCCCCCTTGCCTCGTGCCCTCTCCTGCCCTCCTTGCTCTGCGCAGCGTGGTTGTATCTTCCCGCCTCGCCTGTTGATGCCACTCGCCCTGCAATGCATTCTCAAGGTGAGTTGTGGGAGGACAAGGATGGATGGGGGGATAGGTTGGTGGGGCGGATAGGAAGGTGGGCGGATAGGAAGGTGTGGGGGATTGGAAGGTGGGGGGGATTGGAAGGTGGGGGGAGATAGGAAGGTGGGGGAGATAGGAAGGTGGGGGAGATAGGAAGGTGGGGGGAGATACGAAGGTGGGGGGAGATACGAAGGTGGGGGGAGATAGGAAGGTGGGGGAGATAGGAAGGTGGGGGGAGATAGGAAGGTGGGGTTAGGGGGTGGAAGAACGGGAGAGGATGGATGATGAGAGGAAATGGGCAAATACGAAAGGATTGGCAGATGAGGATAACTGCAACAGCATTACTCGTAATAGTATTTTGCTCTCTTCTGCAAGACCATAGCCGCCCTAGCTCAGTTGGTAGAGCGCAAGGCTCTTAACCTTGTGGTCGTGGGTTCGAGCCCCACGGGCGGCGTCTGCTGTTGATGATATGTACATTCTTGCATGTACGCGTGACACCTTGTATGTGTCGCGAAGTTTGTTTAGAGGGATTCCTTCAATACCTTCTTTTTGCAGGTCAGGCCACGTATTGCCGATTTCCTTGGCAGTGCTGAGGTTCGCCACGACTCCACAGATCAAACCATGGCCTATGGGTCTGGGTTTTCAGGCATCTACTTGAAAAGAGAAAGCCATGCTGCCGCCTGCTGGTCAGGTCAGCGCCCCCTTGCCATGCGCCCCCCCGCCCCCCTTGCCATGCGCCCCCTTGCCATGCGCCCCCTTGCCATGCGCCCCCTTGCCATGCGCCCCCTTGCCATGCGCCCCCTTGCCATGCGCCCCCTTGCCATGCGCCCCCTTGCCATGCGCCCCCTTGCCATGCGCCCCCTTGCCATGCGCCCCCTTGCCATGCGCCCCCTTGCCATGCGCCCCCTGCCTCCCCCCTTCCATGCCCCCCCCCCCCCCCTTGCCATGCGCCCCTTGCCATGCGCCCCCTTGCCATGCGCCCCCTTGCCATGCGCCCCCTTGCCATGCGCCCCCTTGCCATGCGCCCCCTTGCCATGCGCCCCCTTGCCATGCGCCCCCTTGCCATGCGCCCCCTTGCCATGCGCCCCCTTGCCATGCGCCCCCTTGCCATGCGCCCCTTGCCATGCGCCCCCTTGCCATGCGCCCCCTTGCCATGCGCCCCCTTGCCATGCGCCCCCTTGCCATGCGCCCCCTTGCCATGCGCCCCCTTGCCATGCGCCCCCTTGCCATGCGCCCCTTGCCATGCCGCCCCCTTGCCATGCGCCCCCTTGCCATGCGCCCCCTTGCCATGCGCCCCCTTGCCATGCGCCCCCTTGCCATGCGCCCCCTTGCCATGCGCCCCCTTGCCATGCGCCCCCTTGCCATGCGCCCCCTTGCCATGCGCCCCCTTGCCATGCGCCCCCTTGCCATGCGCCCCCTTGGGGGGATTGGTTAGTGGGGGGATAGGAAGGTGGGGTTAGGGGGTGGAATAATGAAAGAAGGGTGATGGGAGGAAATGGGCAGACGGGAGGATATGGAATGGCAGATGAGGTTGACTGTGTTAATATTTTATTTTGACTATCTCAGTCTTGGAAACGCAGCCGCCCTAGCTCAGTTGGTAGAGCGCAAGGCCCTAAACCCTGCGTTTTGTTTTCCCGACACTGTTTTGGGAGACTCGCTCACTTCCCCCAGTTTTGCGAGTCAGGCCTGGTCTCGCCGATTTCATGGGCGTTGCTTTGGGAGGGCTAAAGTTGGCCACGAGCCCACAGATCAAACCGGACCCTTTTATCGGTGCATCGCCCGAACCATTCGCCCTGATCTGTGTCCATCGCTAACCATTCGAATCCATCTGTGCCCATCACTCAAACCATCCACTTTCATCGGTGCTAGGCAGTACGCCCATCTTTCCTCCCGCGTATCCAACCTTCTCGTGTTGCTTACTTGAGCAGATCAGGGCCTAGATCTCGGGCGCCTGCAGAAAATTAGAGGAAAGGAAAACAATCCTGCCACTTCCTGGTGAGGTCAGGGCCCTCTCCCACCCGAACACTCCTTGCCGTGCGCCTCCTCCCCCTCTCCCACCCCCTGCCCCCCTTGGCATTGCGCCCTCTCTGCCGCCTGCCCCCCTTGGCATTGCGCCCTCTCTGCCGCCTGCCCCCCTTGGCATTGCGCCCTCTCTGCCGCCTGCCCCCCTTGGCATTGCGCCCTCTCTGCCGCCTGCCCCCCTTGGCATTGCGCCCTCTCTGCCGCCTGCCCCCTTGGCATTGCGCCCTCTCTGCCGCCTGCCCGCCTTTGCATTGCGCCCTCTCTGCCTCTTGCCCCCCTTGGCATTGCGCCCTCTCTGCCGCCTGCCCCCCTTTGCATTGCGCCCTCGCCTGCCCCCTTGCCGTGCTCCCACTCTTTCCGGTTTGACATGCACCCTCGCCTGCCCCCCTTGCCATGTGCCCTCTCCTCCTGCTATGCGCCCCCTTCTGCCCTTTTGCCGTGCACCCTCTCTTGCTGCCCTTGGCTTGGCCCTCCTAAAGCCCGAAGCATGGGTATCCACTCTCATTTTACTGCCTCCACAGTGCTGCCAGCTGTCGTTATCCTCCTACAGTGCTGCCAGCTGTCGTTATCCTCCTACAGTGCTGCCAGCTGTCGTTATCCTCCTACGGTGCCGCCATCTGTCGTTATCCTCATACAGCGCTCCTCCTGTGCTCCTGTTGATGCTGCCAGTGTGTTCCAGACTCACGGGATGTTGCCATTCACTTTCCGCTGCATTAAAAAGGTGAGCTGTGGAGGGATTGGTTGGTGGGGGGGAATGGTTGGTGGGGGGGGAATGGTTGGTGGGGGGGATGGTTGGTGGGGGGAATGGTTGGTGGGGGGAATGGTTGGTGGGGGGAATGGTTGGTGGGGGGACTGGTTGGTGGGGGGAATGGTTGGTGGGGTGAATGGTTGGTGGGGTGAATGGTTGATGGGGGGGGGAATGGTTGGTGGGGGGGGGAATGGTTGGTGGGGGGGGGAATGGTTGGTGGGGGGGGAATGGTTGGTGGGGGGGGAATGGTTGGTGGGGGGGAATGGTTGGTGGGGGGGGGAATGGTTGGTGGGGGGGGGAATGGTTGGTGGGGGGGGGAATGGTTGGTGGGGGGGGGAATGGTTGGTGGGGGGGGGAATGGTTGGTGGGGGGGGGAATGGTTGGTGGGGGGGGGGAATGGTTGGTGGGGGGGGAATGGTTGGTGGGGGGGGGAATGGTTGGTTGGGGGGGGGAATGGTTGGTGGGGGGGGAATGGTTGGTGGGGGGGGGATGGTTGGTGGGGGGGGAATGGTTGGTGGGGGAATGGTTGGTGGGGGGAATGGTTGGTGGGGGGAATGGTTGGTGGGGGGAATGGTTGGTGGGGGGAATGGTTGGTGGGGGAACTGGAAGGTGGGAGAGGGGATGGAAATATGAGGGGGAAGTTGGTGGGAAAAATGAGCAGATGAGAAGGGGTGCAATGATATTTAAATACAACTGAATTTAAACCATCTTCTACCATGTCATAGCCGCCCTAGCTCAGTTGGTAGAGCGCAAGGCTCTTAACCTTGTGGTCGTGGGTTCGAGCCCCACGGGCGGCGGCGTTACGAGTGTTGTTAAGTGTTTGTCTTCTTTTGTTTGCCTTGCCATTCTGATGCCCCCTCGTTTGACCCTTGTGTCTGTGATTCACCAACCAGCATCCCAGCAGCATCTTGTGTGTTGGCAGTAACAAGCTTCTACATGGCAGCAAATGGTCGGTCTTCAGCCAGCATGGCAGCAAATGGTAGGTCTCCAGCCAGCATGGCAGCACATGGTAGGTCTCCAGCCAGCATGGCAGCACATGGTAGGTCTCCAGCCAGCATGGCAGCACATGGTAGGTCTCCAGCCAGCATGGCAGCACATGGTAGGTCTCCAGCCAGCATGGCAGCACATGGTAGGTCTCCAGCCAGCATGGCAGCACATGGTAGGTCTCCAGCCAGCATGGCAGCACATGGTAGGTCTCCAGCCAGCATGGCAGCACATGGTAGGTCTCCAGCCAGCGTGGCAGTAAAGAAGTTTCCAGCCAAGCAGGCCTGCCAGCAGTGCTTCATGCAGTCTACCTGGAGGCACTTCCATCAGTCTCCTTGATTTTCACCTCATTACCTTGTCACCCAACTCCCGCTCCTTCCAGATCCTGTCTATTGGCTGCAGAAATACCAATTGACGGATCTGTATACTTGTTGCTTTCAGCATGAGAATATACAAACAAGTAGTGCTCATTCGCCTCAGCTGTCCACATCACCTCTTACGAGCTGCTGGCCTCAATCACTCACCAAATGGCAATTTCAATCCCCTTGTGTGTGCACATGGCATCTGCACCGCAACTACTTTCCAGTTCAACGTAACCAAGGAGTGGCTGTCACAAATCTATCCCAAATGTTGGAAATAGCGAAGGAAAAGGTGTGACTAGGAAGGGGAGAGGGGAGATACAAGTAGAGTGTTATCCCCTCTAAGAGCTGACCTAGTTAGGCTATATATATGTATACATAGCAATATATGTTTGTTGACACACCCCCTAGCCTAGATATAGGCAGCGTTTAACGAACCAGGGAAGCACTACTAGTATAACCTCTTGTGAAGGTAGCAAGACAACTCAGGGCAGCGCTGCTAGTTTGACCACTGAGACAAGAGGTCATAAGGCCAGTCAACAAGTGTACCAATGCATGCAGGTATAGCACAACAAGTACAAGCACGTATAGAATATATCAGGATACGAAGAGTGGAACTGCTACTGAGACTACACCAAGCTGAGTACAGAACCGCTGATGGTCACGAGGCGGTAGTGCCTTGGTGAAGATATCAGCGGTGTTGGCCTCTGTGGCCACGTGTACTACACGAGCCTAACCGCGCTACTGCAACACACGCAACAGGAAGTAACGCAGCTGGATATGCTTCGCCCTGCCCTCAAGCCGAGCCTCTAGACACAGGAGGATCATGGCCCTGTTGTCAACAAACAGGATTGGGGCAGACCTAGGCAGCTCACCTAAGTCAGTGAGCAAGAACGACAGCCGGCGCAGCTCCTGGCCGGCCATGGCCCAAGCGTAGATATTTGCCTCACAGCTGGACTGAGCTACAGACGACGACCTAGTGGACCTCCACGAGATTGCACCAGCACCAAGACTAAAGCAGTAGCCCTGGGACGACCTGAGCGTCTCCAAGTCATCAGCCCACGATGCGCCTATGCGTCCAGTGAGCACCACTGCCTCCCGTCCTCTAGCACAAGCCTCAGTCATGATGTACTCGCCAGATACCGCAACACCCTTTTGGCAGCCGACTAGTGGGCTGGTCGATGGCTGCCTGTCGCAACAAAGCGAGCCAAGAGACTGAGAGGGTATGCTGGTCGAGTGCAGGTCATCAGGTACATGAGGCACCCCACCAGCTCTACAAATGGACCACTAGCCTCGACCGGCTCAGCCGGAACAGGGGCAGAGAGCTTGTGATCCACATGCAGAGGGATGGGCTGTACTGAGGAGAACTGGAAACTGAACATCTGGAGGATCTGCTGCACCATATGGGACTGGGAGAGTGTGATCGTGCAAGCATCACGGTCACGAGAGATCTCCAAGCCCAGATAGGGCCTCAGCACCCCCAGATCCGTGCAGGCGCCTTCCCTGAGGCCAGTGCGACTCTGTCAGGAGTAGCAAAGATAAAATCGTCTACGCACACTAGGATGTAGAACAGGGTATGACCAGTGCGAACAAGAGAGAAGGGTCAGCAGAGGAGGGGAAGAAATGTAGCTCAACGAGTGTGGTGCGGAGCGTGTCGTGCCACTCACATGGCGCCTGACGTAGACCATAGACAGGGCAGCCCAGGTACCATTGGGTCCCAGGTGGGAAGGACCCAGAGAAGCCCACAGTGGGCACCGGAGGAAGATCTGCTTGTGCAGGCTACCCTGCAGGAAGGCTGTGGAGAAGTCAAGTGAGTGAAGCTTGTAGTCGCGCTGCGCGGCTAGATGGAGGAGCACCCGAAGAGTTCTCATTTTCGGAGTAGGAGAGAAGGTGTGGAAGAAGTCCACACCCTCTCGCTGACTGAAGCCTCTAGCTACGTAAAGCACGTTGAAATTCGGCGACTCTCCAGGTGCGCGCTCCACCCTATAGATCTACCTGCCATCGACTATGTTCACCCAGGCGGAGGAACTGCGTCGACGTAAGTGCCTGTAGATCTGTAAGATGCCATCTCAGCCTCCATGGCCTGTATTCACTGGGGCTGCCCAGGGCCCCGACACCGTCTCAGCGTAAGAGCGTGGGACAGGGATGTCAAGTGCGTCTGGATCGCTGTCTGGGGATACAAGCATGGAGCAGAGTTGGGGTACAGCGGCAACAAGGTACGCCAAGTCATACTGCCTGTCCTCTAGCACGTCACTGCCAAGGGCAGGCGCACCGCCGACGGACGGAGGACGGGCAGTACCAAATACCAGAGCGACAGCGTAGTCAAGGCGGAGGCTAGCAGCAAAGTCAGCGACAGCAGCGACAAACAGAAACAAACTCAAGTGGAGCCAGAGGGTTAGTAACAAGCGACGCAAGCCAGCGCGAGAGGACTGGGCGAGCAGTGCGAGCAGAGTCAGAGGGAGGAGCAGGAGACGACGAGAGCAGGGCACAAGTTAACAGGGTAACTACCTTGTCTTGACTGAAAATCCAAGGTTTTTCCTAGACCGACCCTGTGGTTTCCTGGGTTTTTCCCACACCAGCCCTGAAAGAATCAAGGAGATTTCTCTACTGACCCGACGAGTCTAGGAGGGTTTTGAGGGGACCCGGACATCTCCAGGGGGTGTAGGAATATCTTAATGTCCCACCCTTACCTTCCCCAAGCTTGGGGAGAGTTATTTGGCAGCAGGGATCGTACAGCGGAAATTCGAACAGTTGTAAAGGTTCTTCTTCTTATCCGTGTGTTGCTGTCGTTCTTATGCGGTTCAGTGCGGTTAGAGTTTGTACAAGCATTATGGGGCTAGAAATTCACCTGTATTTCCACACGTACTACTAGATCAAAATGAGCTGAGACGAACAATTATTCACGCCACTCAAACTCACCCCCGCCCTAAGCAACCCCCCCCTCCCCCACCCCCTCCCCAACCCAAATTTAGCTCATTCAGGCGCGTGATGCATTTGCAGTAATGTACAAGTGTTGGTGAGGGGGCGGATTTCCCACCCCGATGTCTGGTCCCGCTAAAATTGGCCACTCTATCGGGCCTTTTCGAGCGCGGACTCTCAAGAAGCAGGGTAAATCTCTTACAAAATCAGAATTTACAGGGTGGCATTTCTAGGGACCCGGGTCGTACGAGGTGGAAAAAAACCTAGCGAGAGCCCTGGATGGGAGCAACAATTGGGGGGGCAACAGGAGGACTGGAACAAAAGGAGCACACAGAGGAGTGACCATAGGGTAGACACTAGGACGAGGAGAGACAGGACGAGCACCAGAGGGACGACGGACCCAGTGGTGAAGAACATGTGACAGGGGACGAGGGGGGAAGGGGGACAAGTTAGGGGATGGAGGAGAGCGCGGGGGGAAATGAGCCAGAGAAGATTCCGAGGGAGGGAACAACAGGTCGTAGCAAGGTCACGCACCGGAGGAGGGACGGGCGGTCGGTCAGGGGAACCGGGTGCAAGACCAAGGAGATGAAGAGCAGACTGCTGCTGTTGCTACTACTGCTGCTGCGGCGGCTGCTGCAGCTGCTGCGGCTCCCTGTCCTCTCCATGGCCTCCAGCTGCACCTCAGCTACCACCGACACTCCCCGAAACAGCACCCCAGGACTAGCACCCTCGGATGCACCACCCACAGAACCAGCACCCCCAGAGTCAGCACCCCCAGAACTCGCACCCCCGGAATCAGCACCCCCAACACCAACGCCTCCAACACCAGCACCTCCAGAACCAGCACCCCCAGAGCCCACTGCCCCTTGCTGCTGCAGCGGCCGCTGAGTCAGCTGCGGCTGCTGCTGGGGTGAGGGGGGAGATGGCTGAGGTGCCTGGGGTACCAGGGCTGGGGGAGGCGCAACATGGACAGCAGGTGCGCTCCCAGCAGCTGGCCTCCTAGAGTCAGCAGACTCCCCCACACGCCCGACCGAGAGGAAAGGAGTGGCGTGAGAGACACCAGACGGGGTCGGGCGGGGTGGGAGGGGTGCGACAGGCGGGGCAGGGATGAGGAAGAGAGGAGGAGGAGGCACCGCAGTGTTGTGGTGAGGGAAGCACTTGTATTAGGGGTGCGTCTCATTGAAGGTAACGTTACGAGAGCGGTAGAAGCGGTGGTGGACCGTGTCATAAAACAACCACTCAGGGGCATCAAGTGGAAACCCAGGAAGACCCATGGACGAGAGCGGGCTGAGAGCTTGTACGTGCCAATGGCACGGACGTGAGCAAGGCTACCTCAGACGTGGAACGCAGCAGTGACACCCCTAGACCTGGTCCATAGACGGGTCGACGAAACCTGTGATCGCTGGGAGCGCAGCTACAGGTTAAGCTAGTGAGCTGCGTAGCGCACGACAAACGACCACCGAAAATGGGGTGGACTGGCGTGGACCAAGGAAGTGCGAGCTACCTCCATGACCAGGCCCATGCGTCGCTCAGCAATCCCATTCTGTTGTGGGGAGTCCGGCAGTGTGTACGTCTGGCGGATGCCCTCCACGCGATAGAACTGACCTAGAGTGCCAGAGGTGAACTTGCCACTACGGTCAGAGTGTAAACAAACTACAGGCAGGCAGTGCTAGGTGCGAGCGCCGAGCAACCACGGGAGGAGAACGGTTAGCATGTTGGCCTTCCGCT